CTATCCTCCTCAAAGAATGTCTAAGGTCCATACAAATTAAGGCATGGCTAAACAGCTGGTGGAGAAATTTCTCCAACCTGCCCAGATTCCTTGAAAATGCCGACTGACATCCATCTTTCCCTGTATTCTGGCAACTGGAAAGGTGGGAAAACTGCACATTGCATTTTAAGTCCTGAGACAGGAAGTAACCAGTAGGAATTCATTTTCCAGGGCATTCATTAAAATGTCCAATAACAGTTATCTTGTTTCGATCAACAAGATAAGATGACAGAAAGAACAGAGAAGGTGAAGGGCTGTACAACGAGGAAATTTTCTCCACAATTTTCACCTTTCCAGAAGCCAGGGAGATTAATAAAGCACCGATCAATTCTTCTAAGAAAGGCAAAATGAAGTAAAAACCTTAAACTGCCTCTTATAAGAAAAGGGGGTGTGTAAACAAGTGGAGAGAGAAAATCTTATTCAGTAAGTGGTGATGTTGAAATTATAATATTTAACTATTTGCAAGAAATGGTTAAGCAGAAATCAGAATAAAATGTCAGAGATAGAGCTAAATGTATTACACAGAGAGAGAAGTAGATACAGATATAAAGATACATATCTATAAATGAATTAAATAAAAATACATCTGAACATAAAAGAGGTGGAAATAATCTGGGGGAAAGAAAAAGGTTGAACAACGTATCATTGTGCAAAACATCAAGGCAGCATGGCTCCATGAAGCCTTTAATTAAATGGCTTAATCAAATTCCTTCTGGTCCCTGGAATGTCTGCATTCCAGGCTGAAGCTATCTCTCCAGCCTACAGAACCCCGACCGATGATCCATGCCCCTGTGAGATTCTCCCAGCATCCTCTCTACCAAGACTCCCTTCCCCCCTAATCAATACCCTTTCCTGAGGATGGCATGGTTTTCCTGTTCCCGACCACTTCACTGGTGCTCCTGTTCCCCAGCTTTCAAGCCTTTACAGAATCTTCTTTTTAATATCTCAAGCTTCTGACAGTACAAGAAAAGGAGATGGTAAAGAGAAGAGAGGGGGGCCGAGCCTCCAGGAGGAGAAGGCTGACAGTTCACTGCTAGACGGGACTTCACTGGCACACCCGGCGGTGCTGCGAGGCAGGGTTTAAGAGATGCCTGCTCCCATCGTCCTCTGACTGCAACTAGATGACATGCAATCAGTTTTTTCCAAAAACATATAAAATAAGAGCAACATATGCTTATATAAAACCATAAACTCATCTACCAATACAGAATAATTCCTGAAAAACTGCACTCTGAGGAACAGATTTAGTAACTCTTAAGAAGTCAAACGCCACCCTCTGAGGCCCTGTACAGCACCCAGATTCAGAAAACCTGCATGTGGGCCCTAATTCTGCCAGTACCACTGTGTAATTTTATCTTAGTCATTTAATTTCTAACTTTTACTTTCCCAATTTAGTCAATGGAGATAACAGTAATTTCTAGAATCATGAGAGTTTTTGAAAATTACTGATTCCTAAGTTGCCCCACCCCAGACCTAGGGAATCAGAATCTCAGAGATGGGGAAATTTGTAAGTCTTCTCTATTTCAAAATCTCCCTGGTGTGATCTGGACACATAGGACTCTGAGGACTGGTAGCTGGAAATGCTGCAGCACCTTGGTGGGTTAGCAACACCTCCAACCCTACCTTGCCTCTCTCACTGTTGCTCGAGTCCATAACCCCTTTCTCCCTGAGGAGTCAGGCTGCCCATGTGACGTTTAGAACTTGAGGAACCATCAGACGGTGACCCGGGAGCTGGGCAAGCAGGGGCCTCCTCCATCCCGCTGCCGACGAGGAGGTGCGGCAGAAACAAAGACATGCCTCCATCGTGTGAAGGTGGTTCTCAGACATGTTTCTTGTGGGAGGTGGTAGTTAGGAAAATGCTTACTTACATACAGGCCAGTGGAGACCCTGGTCTGGCTTGGAAGCTAAGATCTATGTTCACACTACTTCAATGGGAAAAATGCTTTGCAACCTCCAGAGGAACAATTCATTATTATATGTTTGGAGCTGCCAGCACACAGAAATAGGGATACAATCCAAAATGCTGAGGTCTGGTTTCTGGATTTCTTCCAAGTGATTTTTGTCTTCTTTTAGTGTAACCATGAAATTACACTTGACACCTTTTTAAGTACCGAGCTTTCTTTGATTCAATACCTACGTCAGCTTCTTTCAATGATTATTTTCCCATTATCAGAGGTTAAGGGACAGAATGCAATTCTTTAAAGAAGTGATTTTGAATGGACAAATCAATCCCCTTGGATTACCGGTGAGCTTTTAACCTACTGTTAGAAATATGTGCTAAGAGTCAAAGACTAACACAGGAACCGGCACTGATTGATAGGATAAAGTAAAACAGCCCCCAATAATACCGACTTCTGATCATGTGCCAGTGTGCTAGTTATGGTTACACATAATATTTCAGCCTTTATTCTTCCTGGTCAAATTGTTAAATTGCTTTCTATTTCCTCTGCTAAAACCCTAGTTTGCACCTGAGCCGGCAAGTACCATAAGCACCATCAGGACAACGTATGTTTATAAAGCACTTCTGTTTCCAAAGGGCTTTCACAAGCATTAGTTTATGTGTTGCTCACAACAGACCCGCAGCAGGCAGATCTGATATCAGCCCCATTTTATAACGGGCAGCTGAGTCGGCACTCGGCCAGCCATCAGGGAGTGGAGGTGGGCCACCTGTTGAAGGGTGAGAGGAACAAGGGGAAGCCAAGCGGACATAGTGAGTGGAGACCAGACCACACGGAGCCGAATTCTTCAGAGTGTGAACCAACTGAATAGCAACATTCATTGACTCCAGACAACTGGATCTGCTTCCAGAAAACAATCATGGGAAAGAGTCATCTAGAAACGAGGCTAAGGAACAGTGGCCGCCATGTGCCCCAGAAGCCTTCAGATCCTTAGGTTGCTAATGTCCTCTACCATCATGCCCAGAGGTGGCAACCTGAGGCTCAGAGTCTTTAGTACCACCACCCCACATCCCCTCATTCCCTTTGGCTTATGAATTAATGAGAGGAAAAGCTCAGGGAGGCTATCCATCGCTGGTGTGTTCTTTCCATGAGTCAAAAAGTTGACCCACAAAAGACTAGCAGAATCCTAGAAAAAGAGCTCATGAGATTCGCTCAATCAGCAAATTGTTGCTGAGCCCCTTCTATGTGCAACCATTCTTCTAGGCAACAGGATGCAGCAAGGAATCAAAGAAAAGACCAGCTCACATGGAGCTTCTATTCTCACCACGGCACCCACGTGTAGGCCTTTCTACTTGCTTGTAACTCTTCCTGGACCACTCTACCCCCAGAAATCTGCATGAGTCACTTACTCTCTAACCTCCTTCAGATTTTTACTCCATTAACACCCTTTCTGCAAGGTCCTCTTCCAACCACACTATGCAAACTCGCATCATCTTCCAGAACCATCCTTCCCTATTTTCCCTAACACTTATCACCATCTAACACATTATATGTTTCTCTTATTTTTTCTTATTTTTCTCCTCCCACCAGAATCCATGCTTCAGAAACGCAGGGGTGATTGTCTGGTTTGCTCATGACAGTATCCCTAGTGCCTTTAGCTATAACTGGCACGTAGTAGGCATGAAATAAATCCTGGTTCGTTCGCATGATCAAACAAGGCTTTTGACACATGCAGATATACGCAGGCCTCCTGTGTTCACCTGTATTCATTATCATAAGCCTCATGGATATTCCTACATAGGCCTAAGTTCCTTCTCTTGGTCATACAGTTTTAAAAGCCCTATATGTCCAAATTTGCAGGCATTTATCCTTACTTTACTTGGTTTGCTTTAGTTCTTTGTGCTTAAACGAAACATTTTTTTCTTCTTATGTGGTCTTCAAACATGAGCATTCTCTTCTTTTCATACTCAGACCATTTATTACATTCCCTGCAGAATCCCTAAGCACTTAAGACTATTTGTAGCTACACATATGTCAATTCACAATATCACAAAACAGCTCTACAAAAGATAAAAATGATGTCAAATGTCTAATTTTTATTCTTTTCAAATGCAATCTCTGACTTTAAAAGTAGGCATACATGTAAACAAAAGCAGTCTAACTGAATTAAAATTCCAAATCTAATAAAACCTTCCCCTCTCTTCCTCTAGTATATCTTTGGATGTCTCTAAATAGTTGGGTTTCTCAATGCAAACATCTGAGTTGCAGTGATTTTCAAGAGAAAGATATGAATGTACAAGGCCTCTGATACAGAAATAATTAAATGCTATGCTTCTTAATTCTCTAACTCCTCAAGAAACACTGGCTAACAAGGAGAAATGAATGGAAAATGCCAGAAGAGCTGATCTTACGGCCTGTTCTCCCACCTACTATAATGTGACCCCAGGGCCAGTTTTTGCCTACTTATCTGTACAAAGATAATATACCCTGACCTTCTCACCACATAGAACTTTTCCGGGAATAACATAAATTAGTAGTGGGATATGCTCTAAACTACACAGCAACAGTCAAATGAAAGGTAGAATGATTTTGCCTAAAGGCCAAGTCCTCTTAACGGCTCCTTGAGGCGCAGTAAAACCCACAGTACAGTTGACCCTTGAGCTGTGCAGGGGGTTAGGGGCGATGATCCCCCTCCCCCGAGTCAAAAATCCGCATGACTCTGACTCTCCCAAAACATAACGACTAATAGCCTACTCTTGGTTGGAAGCCTTACTGATAACATGGACAGGTGATCAGCACACATTTTGTATGTTATATGTATGTTACACTTTATTCTTATAATAAAAGAAGCTAGAGAAAAGATGATGTTAAGAAAATCATAAGGAAGAGAAAATACATTTTCAGTCCTGTAGTGTGTTTATGGGAAACAATCTGTGTAAGTGGACCAGTGCAATTCCAGCTCATGCTGTTCAAGGGTCAGCTGCAGTTCTTTCTGCTTCTCATCCCCTTATATCAAATACATCACAAAAAAGTAATTCTTTATAGATACATTTTGGGATATACCTTTGACTGTATTGTCCTCAGATTAACGAGATGAATGTCACAAGGCAAAGATGACAGTAACGGAGAGAATTCACCTAGCAGCTGAAGGGTGGGCACGGGGATCTTTTCTGTCATTGTAAAGACAGGATGATTCAGGAAAGAGGAAGTTATGTGGCTAACGAGAGAAGGATAACTGACTGACTTCTTTTCTTCTTCCTATCAAGAAAAAACAGAAATGCTTAAGTGTTATATATATATGCAGTTTTCACAATATTAATGGAATTACCTGACAGGGTTTAAATAGAAAAGAAATATAAACAAAAACAAATATTTTAATTTTATATTTTGTAAATAACAGTCTTAGCCAACACAGAGATTACCAAGTCCATTTGTAAGCAATACAAGAAAATGAACAGTGTCCACCTAACTCATGTTTAGAAAGATCTTTTTTCCATTGCTTTAGTACTAAAAATCCTGATAACATTTTCCAAAAAACATTTTAGGACAAGGCATAACATTTTACGGAAACTCTTTCTCAACCTACCACAAAATTCTTAAATAGATGGGCTGGGATATTCACACATCTTGCACATCATCAAATGTGATCTCTTCTCCCTCAGGTTTTACCCACCATATACTCATGGTTTCATTTATACACTCAACTAGACCATAACATCTTGTGATCTGAAGCTATGCTCCATACATGTTACCCAATGACAGGATTTTTTGGGGAAAAACTCTCAAAATAAATAAGGTTTTTAAAATAACACAAGGAGTATACCTCTATCATCTGTTAAATTTGGTAAATCACTACCACTGAACTGAAACTGTTAAATTATGTTATATAATAGTTAGTACATATTTACCTAGTACACAATTATTCAGTAGAATTTAAAAGTACTTTAGTCATTGCTATGGTATATACTTAAAGACAAGTGGTTCTGCATGTTCAAACATTAAACAAGTCTGCCAGGGCTGGCAATAGGCATATGGTAGATGACACACTCAATTAACTAAATCGATGACTAAGTAGAATCTTAACCAATAATGCCTAAGGTATAAGAGCACACAGAGAAAAACACTGAGAAGAGAAAATAATTTATGTAGAAAGGTTTTTTGATCAACAGTGACATGTGGAACAAATTTAATTTTGTATCTTATTTTTAAACTGTCCATTTCACTGATATCCTCTGATTTTGCATCCTTTCTGCAATACAGGGCTCAAATAAAAGGCTTGGCTACTTATCTGGCCGAAAAGATAGGATTTATAGGAGATACGGGGCTTAAAATTCAGAATGTCAGATTAGCACTGAACAGAGGGTATTGAGCAAAGAGTGACAAGCATCTTGCCAGCAGCGAACTGTAGATGTCATTACAATTCAGACTATGGAGAAAGAAAAAAAATTAAAGGCAGTAGAGGGACAGTGCATACTGAGATACTGACACAAGGTCTAAATGACTTGTAAATAAAATATGCACCCATCCCACACTCTTTTTTTAAAAGAAAGATTAAAAAAGCATATATAATAATATTCACCAACAATACTGAAATTTAATGCATGTTGTTGAATACTGAGGGAACAGTTTCAACTGGAAACTTTAAATGTACTCCAAGATCAAAGGACTTCATAATCTAGGTCAGGATTGCTGACAAAATCACTTTTCAATAATAAAAGATAAAAGATCCCAACAGAAAAGAAGACACCTGCCGTATCAGAATCAGAAGGCATTAAGTCCATTCTAGGTCAAGTAACATTCAGAGAATGCTCTCTGGCTTTGTTCTATGCTCTTGGAGGAATCCCTGGACACTTCAGTGAATAGGTGGGATACTTCTTGATGGATTATGTATACCTTTCAAACAGTAATGTGCATATATACTCTTCCTCCCAACCACACCAGTTCCCTTGACTCTCAGTGCCCCCTGCAACCTACCATACATAAAAATGGCTTGGGGAGCTTTAAACATAGATCCCCGAACCCTAACCCAAATATACTTAATCAGAATTTCCAGGGGTGAGCCCTAGGAAGCCAAAGCTTAACAGCCCCCAGAGTGAATCTCAAATCTCGGTCAGTCTGACACAGCTCTGTGGACACGTGCTGGGAACCATCACCCCAGACATCCTCCCAACCTTGTAGAAGAAACCGCTGCCTTTGCAATCAAATGTCTGAGTCTCATCCTTTAACTACTTTTGGATTAAGAAAATGATTCAGACTCAGAAACATGTTAATGCTAAGTCTCGTCAAAGGAAACAATATCATGACTGTAAGTGCTTCGAGAATTCAAGAACTGTGCCATTTACTGTCCTAAGTAGGATAAGGGAGAGAAGTTTAGGGAAGATTTGTGGTTCAGAGCTATAAAAGCACCACGAACAAATAACGCTGCTGGAAGCTAGCCAGGCAGGGTGGGACAAAATCTCACAGAAGGTTCCATGATTCATGCACTTTCTTAACATGTTTATAGCAACGAGGGGCTCGACAAGATATTTAGCTGGTGAATTATCACCTTTTGATTAATCTCCTGGAAAGGTAATCTTTTAACTGTAACCTTTATGATAAACCCAAAGCTTATAACACATGTTTGCTATAGGAAATTTTAAGCTGTAAATGAATTCTCCAGCCTTGCAGTACTAATATACTACTCTAAACATTATTTGGTTCCTTGTGGGTTGGAAGGCTTCAAGCTGTTCAGATCTAGCTTTCTCCTTGCATTCTGTATGAAATTATAAAGAGTTTATAGCACATTCTGATCCAAACCACAAGAAGTTGAGATCTCCATTGGGTTCCAGCCCTTATTTTATAAATCAGAACTTCCTGCTAGGCTCTATGGTGTCCTTCATGAAGCCCATTTAAGTTATCTGATCCCTAAACATCAAAGGTTTCCATCCATCTACAGCAAAACTTGCTAAATAAATTATCTAAGACAATAAGAGATGATATTTTGAGTCACTTTGGCTTATTCAGTATGACCTGATACATGGTGAGAACTTGATAAATGTTTTTTTAAACTTAATCTATCAACAAGTAAATGTAATATAAATAAAGGAGAGAAAAATACAGTAGGAGAAAGGATGTGGTAAAAAGAGACAGAAGAAATAATTGATGAAAATTAATGAATCATAAGATTTAGAAATATATCTCATTTAGTGCAGAGGGGAAGCCTGGTGATCTGTGAGCTAAATCTGCCTACAGATAGGTTTTGATAGGTCTGCATGGTATTAAAAAGTTGTCTGTTTTTTGGCCAACTCTCAAAAAAGAAAAAAAATCCAGGAGATTTCACAGTGAAATTGTCAACAACAACAAAAAAACTCCCTAAAACAGGTAACTTTTTTTTTTTAAAACCCAAAACACTGGAAACCCAAGTCACCCTGGGCCCCCATATTCCCTCAAGTGCAGCTGAGTTGTAGCTCCTTGGTGGGATGTGTCCTCACTCATCACAGACCTGGGGTCACCTCACTTACGCGTTTGCCCTTAAACCTGACCAACCTCCCTCATGCCATCACTTTTCTGAGTCCTGTCAGCATTTGAGCTTTTCATCTGATCTCTCCTAGCTCCTTTTCCTGACATGTAAAGAACTGGTATCCACAGGTAAAATGACACAACTGTAATACCTGAACACTTCCCAGCACTTCTAATTCCTGGTTCAATGCCCTCTACCTATAGCAGTCTTCAGCAGGAAGGGATAGGGAGTAAGTGTCAAAGAAACAAAACCTAAAGGGTCAATGCCAAAGAGACAATTCCCACTTTCCGCTTCCGTTGGTCATTACACATGGATGATAGTCCACCTCACATAGCTACAGTAACCCACTGGGCATCTGCACATCTCACAGCAATTATCATTCCAGTCCTTGTTCTCACTGCCTCTCTGCAGAACACTCACGAACAGGATTCGGTTCCACTTAGTCACCCAGATAACTCCTCCCAGAGGCTCTGGCAGGCTGAAGACTTTCTACTAAAATGCCTTCCTGTACAGAGACTGTCTCCTCACCATGGTTCCTACCATCGACATCTTAAACATGAGAGTCTGAGTTGAAAATAAAAACACTTTCTGTAAAGTTTAAGTTATAGGAGATGGAACATTCCTTAATCAAATGCCTTTTTAATCAATTGCACTAGAAATTAAAATGTATTTTCTCTTCTCTAGTTCATTTTTTATTTAAAAGAAACTATTGATTTAAGTCCAAGAATCTATAGTTGAGCAAAAAGAAAAATTTAACCAACATAGGATTATACAAACACTGGATCAAATTTCAATCAATTACTATCCAAGGAGTTTTGAATGGGAATAAACAAATTATTTCACTTCTAAGTGAAAGCTTTATAGATCTGACATGAAAATGCTTATTGCCATAGTTAACAGAAGCTTTGCAAATTAGTGTCTATATAGAGAGAAAAAAAAATCATAAAAGCCAGAGACATTTTCGGGAGGAGAAAAAGACAGTAGCTGCCAGCACTCAGACAATGATTTTCCTGTGCAGTTTTAGTCCTCAAATTAAGCTATCTTGTCAGTAATTGATTTAAACCATGAGTCCCAAGAACTGGTTTAAATCTTGACATCTAAAAATGGATATTAAAACCTTTTTTCCTAAAAGATTCTAGATACTGAAAGAATTATTGGCTTTAATGAGCTGTTGCCATTTCATTCAATCAACCAGTGTTTTATTTATAGAATAGCTACCATAGGCAAGGAGCCCTGTGGGGTACATAAAAATGAAGCAGACAAGTCCCTGGAATGGAGCAGGGGAAGAGAACATGCCGAGTATGACAAGGCAGTAAGCAGGGGCTGGGATAAATGCGGTGGCACCATGCGCTATTACAGCTCACTCATTTATGCATTTGTGCATTCATTCATGCAACACATATCGGGTGCTTCCTCTACCAGGAACAATTCTAGAAGCAGAGGAACATGGCCCCCACTCTCATGAAGTTATGGTCCAAAAGAGGAGAGAGACAATGATCAAATATAATCACATCTATGCACGGAGGACAGATGCGCAATTCTGAGGAGGCACTGAGGATGGTGATCTGGCCTGGTCAAGAAAAAGCAGTTGACCAAGGCAGCTTTGGCCTGAACTATTATGAAGAGTTCCCTGGGCACAGAATGAAACCACAAATGCAAAGGTGCTGTGGGCCCCAGGTGCGTAGGGAGCACTTGGGACTGAAAGAAAACTAGTGGGCCTAGAGCAGAAATAACACGAGTCATGCTGGATGAAGCTGGGGGACAGGCAGGGCCCAGATCATGAGGGGCTCTTCAGGCCATGGAAGGATTTTGGCTTTTATTAGGAGAGCAATGAGAAGACACCTGAGGGTTAAGAAGGGAGCAGTGAGGTCAGATTGAATTTTGAAAAAATGAATCACTTTGCTTACTTGATTTGGAAACAAATATGGCAGGAAAAGAAGAGCAGAATGATTCAGGAAACACATGATGTTTGTTTAGATAATGGTGGTCAAAATAAGCGAGTTTATAGATTTGAAATATTTAGGCAATAAGATAGTCAACACTGGTGATCATTGTTTTAAGAAAGGGGCAGGCAAAGGAGAAGTATCAATGAGAGATGACTGCTGTGTATGTGGCACTGGATGGAAGGTGGTACTAGTCCCCGAGAGAGCAAACACTAGAAAAGAGCAGGTCTGGGGGGAAGGGAAGAGAGATCATGAGAGTGATCATGGATATGTCGGGTCTGAATAGCAGCTAGGTAGATGGGTCTGCAGGTAAGAGGTGAAATATATGTGTGGGTTTCATCTGCGTAGAGGTGGTCACCAAAGCCACAGGAGTAGGAGAGATTGCAGAGGGAGAACATATAAGACGAGAAAAGGAGAAGGCGTGGGGCCAACCCTTGAGGACTCTGACATTTAATGGCTTAATAACCCTCAGAGAGATAAAGAACCACTTGAGAGCTAGGAGGAAAACCAGATGAGCATGGCACCACGGAAGCCCTGGCTAGACTGTCTTCTAAGAAGTGACATGGTCAGTGTCGAATGCTGCTGCAAGGTGAAGTAAGATGGTGGATCTCGTGACACTGGCAAGGGTGTGTGTGTGGTGGGGGAAGCTAAAGCAAATCTGAAATGAGTTGAGTGTGACACGGAAGCAATGAAATAAACCCATCTTCCAAAGCGGCTCAACTGGGTGTGGAAGACAGGACGGGAGAGCAGGGCAAATGGACATGAGTCTGTGTGGAGGTTGTTTTTGGTATGTATGTATGTATGTATGTATGTATGTATTTATTTATTTACTAAAGATTTTATTTATTTTTTAGAGAGCGAGCGAGCGAGAAACAGCATGAGAGGGGAGAGGGTCAGAGGGAGAAGTAGGCTCCCCGCTGAGCCGGGAGCCTGATGTGGGACTCGATCCCAGGACCCTGGGATCATGACTCGAGCCGAAGGCAGACGCTTAACCATCTGAGCCACCCAGGCGCCCTTGGTTTTTATTTTTAATAGGAGAAAATGAAGAGTGTCTAAAAGCCTGCAGAAAGGGTTTCTTTCCTAGGGAAATGTCAGCTATGAAGGGCAGAGAGAGGGAAGGTGGATGATGATGCTGAGGAGGGTGCTGGGGTACGTTGCAAGGACAAGTGGAGGTACTGGCCTGGGAGGAAAGGAAGGTAAAAATGTCTCTATTGCAACATGAGGGAAGAAGGAAAGGGTGGGAGGAGATGGTTGATACCTAGAACAGAGAGCCCTGTCAGATGTGAAGTCGATGGTGAGGCCACCAGCTAAAAAGAGTAGAAAAGATCTGAAATGGATCAGTGAAGAAAGAAGGAGAGCAGAGTGAGAAAAAAAAGGGCTGTGTACAGATCATCTGAGGTGGGAAATCAGTAAAGCACGGAGGACTGTGATGATGACTTTTGTGTAGCCTTGAAGAGGCGTATTGTCATGTTGGTTTACATCCAACTGAGCTTTAGCCAGATTTTTTTAATGGAATGCTGAGGTTTTGTCTTGAGAAATGAAAACTGAGCAAGAAGATAGACAAGTAAATCCATTTTCAATTGAGGAGTCTAAGACTAGAATAAGCACACTAAGGTTTCCCATAAATTTTACTAATCAAACTTAATCTAAGTATGTGATTAAGTTCTATTCTTAAATTCGACTCTTATTTTCTTTCAAAATAATCTCAGAAAATCTCACCCAAACTGATTCTTTAACATTTTACATCTACATAATAAGGAAAAATAAAAAATAAGATGACCTAAATGCAAATCTGACATATGTGTAACTGAAGTTCTCTTTTTTGTCAATATAGGCTACACCTATTATAAAGATATCTCAATCCTGGGAACTGAAAATCATAAAAAAAGTGGACAGTCATAATTTCAAGTTTTGGGTGGCAAAGAACAAACAACATCAGAACGTATGAGTTATTATTTTTTTCCTACCGTATTCACACTTCTTTTTTCCAGTAGTAGTCGAAATAAATTAGCTGTAACCTTGTTATCATGGACACCTTGCTCAAGGCCGCGATTATCATCTTGCATGAGTCTTCGATCCATGATAACTTCAATCTGACCTAACAAACAAACAAACAAACTGGCCAGAGTTATTTAATACAAACATCCAGTGACAATCACATAAGTTTAGGCACGGTCCTGATTTAAGCCAAGGAGACAGATCCATATAGCCCAAAGTACCAAGGGCTTTCTCAAAACAGCTAGGATAAATGCAAAAAACAGGACTTTATTTCCGTTCTTCTTCATAAATGTCTGGTAAAATTTGGTAAGAAATTTAAAAATGAGACAGATCAAAACTTAAGTGAAATTTAAAAAGAATTAATCTGAAGAGTAAATTATGTCCTCTAAAATTTTTAGTGGTAGCACCTGGAATTTAAAAACATTTACGAGGTTCATTAGGAAACATACATCACACCTGGAGTAACAAGGCAAATACAGATGTGTAGAATCTAAAAAGGATTTAAAGACTAAGCGTTTTGGTTACTTGGTATCTGGTGATTCTCTGAAGAAACCCCAGGATTTGGAGACACCCAGCACGTACCCCCTTCCCTCCCTGGTATTAAGTTAGTGGCATCAACTATCCTCTCTCCTCTAGTTCAAGAAGAGGTCATATTTGGTTCCTTCATTGGCTGTGCAGTAATTCCACACCTCCTCTAGGTTAAGTTGTAAGCTAAGAATTAGGCTATGAGACTACAAACCAAAAAACCCTATCCAAAACAAAGCAAAAAACCACCCAGAGCCACAGTCATATATTTACACTAAAAAAAACCCTAGTCATACATAAAAATATATGCATATTCATCCATCCACTCATTCACATTTGTTACAGTACTAAATGATCTTTTGGCATAAAAGAGCAATACATAAAATATTTTAATAACTATTATTTTCACACAGTCAATCCAACTCTGTTTAGTTCTTTCTTCTCAATTTAGGTACCCAGTACATAAAACTGCCAGTGATGGTCAGAATTTTCGTTGTTACTACCTCCATATTTATTTTAGAACACAACTGTCTAGAATGTGCTCCTCAGGCACTGGGACGAATTGGCCATCTAGAGCTTGATCATGTCACACCCAAATGAGTACATCAATCTCTTGGCAGTTTCTCTCTTCTCCCTGCCTCCAAATGTTAGCCCTCATAATATGTGACACTCAGTAAATCTCCTGGGCTGTACTCAAATTGTTCTTCTGTTTGTAGGTACTGAAATGCTAGGGTGCTTGGCTGTCTGTAGCAGGGGCACCTGGGCCAGGTGTGACTCTTGAGCCCCCCATTTTTAAACGTTGCCTTAAATTCTCAAAGCTGGGTCCTTAAATAGGGAACTAGACATTAGGACTGGAGCAATCATGGAGTAGACAGTTATGTCACTTCCCTTGACAAAGGCAAGCTGAGAAATAAAGCTCCTCTGTCCCTAAACCACATTTAGGAATTTTATGTGAAGTTGTCCAATCTATAAATAGTTGACTTATTTTTTTTTTTAAATCAAAACATATGGAGTGCCTGGGTGGCTCAGTCATTAAGCGGCTGCCTTCAGCTCAGGTCATGGTCCCGGGGTCCCGGGATCGAGCCCCATATTGTGCTCCCTGCTCCCTGGGAAGCCTGCTTCTCCCTCTCCCACTCCCCCTGCTTATGTTCCCTCTCTCGCTGTCTCTCTCTTTCTCTGTCAAATAAATGAATAAAATCTCCAAAAAAATAAAAATAAAAACATAAAAAACTCCAGACTCCTGGGCTCTTCAGAAGCAGAAAAATTTGGCAACCCTGGGCCCCTTTCCCCATGGTGACAACAACCTGGCGCTGAGCAGCGGCTGCCCCACCGTTCACTGGGAATGGTGTGCCCCAGTTTGCCGAAGCCCCACCACTCCCTGCTGCATCCCTGATGTGAGGCCATTATTATTTTTCTAACAGCGTTAATATCTTTATGGCATCATCTCATGAGTCTGTGTAATGAAAGCCACAAAAGAAGATGAGTAGTATGCTTTTTTGTGTGGGTGGACATATGGAATGTATGTATATGCCCAATTAAAAAAAGTGGGTTTGGGGCAAAGGGTACGTCAGGTACCTGCACACCTTTATTATCTGCCTGGCTCCTTAAGACATTTGTCTTAGCAACTCTTAATATGTAAGAAAGAAGAGCACTTTGACTACATATAAATGATAATGAAAAAATATATATTATAAAGGACATACGCCTCTCCATAGAAGGTTTTATAAAAATTAATCTGTGCTTACGATTTATTTTCTCTTTCCATCTTGTTCTATCTTTTGGAATCCTTAAAGTTGTGTCTGTCACCTCTTTATCTGCCTAGCTGTATCATTGCAACTCCCTTTCTTCTTTCGGGTAGAAGTGCCCTAGAACGATACGATTCAGAGAAGGACCTAGGTTTGAACTGTTACGTCCCGCCTTTGCGAACTTAGGCAACTCTGGGAATTTCTAACTTTTACCCCAGCTCCCTCTCCTCTTTGGCTTCTGGGAGAGTTTCCACAGCCATTCCATTATGACAACAACAGAGGCTTGTGCAAACAATGAGCTATCAGGAGAGAAAAATTATCTTTAAGAAGCCATGGTTTCATGGAGCTTTAGGTCCCTCATTCTTCATCAGAAGATTGAAGAAATACATTATTTTATGTTATTCTCACAAAACCAAAATTAACTAATAGCTGGTGTCTGAAGATGATAATTAATAATATGACCAACAGAAAAATTATACATTTGGAACTGAAACTTGTAAGAGCAAAAAAGAATCCAAACAACACGCACCACTTTTCAAACTTGAAACCCCTAAAGACTGAGCTGAGAGTAATGTCAAGCGATGCTTGGTGTTCTGTATATAGGCCATTGTGGTCATCGGATAGACATTTGCTTGAAGAGGCAATTTGCTCATCGTCATTCTGGGCTGAATCTATAAGACCAAACAGTTCACTTTAAAAAAAAGAAATCAAGGGATATTTACAGATGTACTTTAAAAAATTAGTACTGACTACAGATGACGTTTCTTCCAAAAAGAAAAAGGTATAGCTTCCTTTCTTGTTCAAAGGAAGAGCTAATTTAGGAATTAAAACATTCTTTCAAACAATATGAAAAAAAAAAATAAGGAGGATCTTAGAAAACTTTTAGGTGAGAAAGGTAGAACTTATCCAGGTTCTTAAAATAGGCATTCCTATTTAAATTCAGAATAAAAATCCTTAACAAAAGTCTTCTAGCTTTCCAATATTTGCATAAAACAAATTATAAAGGTATCAAGTATTCATTTCTCATCTAAATCTAACATACTGCTTTTGTAATGAATGCTAAGCATAATAGCTCTCTATCCCCTTTCAAAAAATCTCTCTTATAATTCTTGAATCAGTTTTAATAAATACCACAGATCCCCTTATCAAATCCTCTAACATATTACATTAAAATAATCAAATTAATATTTATATTTAAAAACTCTTCAGTGCTTATTCTTCCTGTTTAGTGTCAATGTAGGTAGTTCCATATTTTAACTTTTCTTGGTCTGGTATGTGAATGCATGAAATACATTATTTTATTTTTTGACCGAAAATTCACTAAGCTGGTTGGGGCTGAGGAGAGTCCCTCAAACCTCAGGAGGAAACATCAAACAGAGACTTTGTTATGAGGTATCTTATTCACACCACATAAAAATGACATCTCTCCTGTTCAGCTCATGCAAGTCTGACATGACACTCAAGAAGAAAAGGAGTACAAAGTTAATGTAATAGTATTGAGTGCCCATTATAACGAGACAAAGTACGGGCATTCACAAATATGATCTTTAATCTTTACAACAACCCTGTAGTGCATCCTTTAACTTACTGGTTGTACTGAATAGTGTCCCCCAAATTCATGGTCATCCATAACCTGTGAATGTGATTTTGTTCTGAAATAGGATCTCTACAGACATAAGGTATAGTGGATTAGGGTGGGCTCTAATCCAAGGGCTGGTGTCCTTCTAAGCGGGAAACCTGGACACGAAAGGACACACATGGCAACACAAGGAGAATACGACAGGGACTCTGGGACAGCAGAGGCAGATAGTGGAGTGATGGGTCTACAAGCCCATCAGAAGCCCCAACAGGCAAGGAAGAGTATTTCTCTAGAGCCTCTGGAGGGAGTGTGGCCCTGAAGACATCTTGATTTGGGACTTCTGGTGTCCAGAACCATGACAGAATAAATTTTGTTGTTCTAAGCCACCCATTTTGTGGTAATTTGTATCACAGGCCCAGGAAATTATGAACCTGAAGAAACAACTGCAAAATGTTAAAAAAAAAAAAAAAGAAAGAAAAAAGAAGAGAGAGTTTCAAAGAATTTTCCATTTCTCCTTTCCAATCTGGATCTTCCCAATCAAATTAACTTGTATACTCACTGAAAAGGACATTCACACTGTCATGACTATAGGGCTGCCACCCTCACTCCCTACCTGTTGGTCTAGATTTCTAGTTTTGCTCAAGGACTACTCTTTCCAAGGCTTAAAAAATGGCCTATTTTAGAAGCAGAAATATTTAGGTCATAAATTTAGAAATGTAGAAGTTTAGAAATAATATTTTCCCATTTATTCAAATGCTCGATCCTTGAAAAGAAAATTCACATGTTTATTCACTTTTACTAAGTTTTTTTCATTCATGTATACACCCACACATACAAATAATTGCTTTTGTAAGATTTTAAGAAAAGAGTTTCTTTTGTACACAAGGAAAATGAATCACCATAAAGTCAGGGCTTCATTTGAAAACCAAACAGCTGTGGTAGAATTAACATGTAAATTCAAAGTGTATAATGCAATTTTTATGCTTTGGAAAAGGTTTAAATTTAACCTTTGCAGGAAATTGTAGAAGAAAAAATTATCACAACCCCTTCCACTCATCCCAGTTGAAAATCAGACAAAGTAAAAGCATTTGTTGTGAAATTATTTCTATTCATAGCCAGAAATTTCTAAAATGCTAATGTCTCAAAAACATGCTAATGTTTTTAGTGGTAGTATTTCAAAGCTATGTTGTCACACACATATACTCTGAATATAGAAATTTATGTAACAATCAAAAGAGCCCTATTAAATTAGAGAGCTAACAATCTGAAAAAAATTGAGTCAATTTTCTCATTACTATTTCAAACTATTTTGTGAACATTTTGATTAAATACATCCCTGCCCACATTTCTATATATGTGCTTGTATTTCTTTGTCTATGTATATGTACACAAGTGTGTGCATAAAGGTAAATACACATACATTATTGATAAAAAGAGGGAAAGAGCTTTCCTGAAATTTAAAAGAGCCCATTATTACATTATACATTTAAAAGTATATATGTAATAAATTAAATACACACATACCATTTCTTTTTTTTTTTTTTAAGATTTTATTTATTTATTTGAGAGAGAGAGAGAATGAGAGACGGAGAGCATGAGAGGGAGGAGGGTCAGAGGGAGAAGCAGACTCCCTGCCAAGCAGGGAGCCCGATGCGGGACTTGATCCCGGGACTCCAGGATCATGACCTGAGCCGAAGGCAGTCGCTTAACCAACTGAGCCACCCAGGCGCCCTCCACACATACCATTTCTTTATGAGGGGAAAAATACATACTCCACCAATCCCTAATTATGTTTCCTTTCTATTAAACAAATTCAGATATATTTTGGTGTCAAGGCATTTAACATGCAAATGGTCACCAAATCTGCCTTTGAAAAAACTACCTCCGTAAATCAGATGCTCTACAAACCAATCTCTCAAATATCTGTTCTAACTTTGGACATCTGGTTGAATATAGAACCTATAAGTACCTGTTAAAATTCAGTTTTCCTTTAGAAATAATTTGTAAACTTAAGCATATTTTTCAAAGGATCCAAAATTAACTGGCCCACTACCATATATAAAAGTTACACACTAACACAGCTATTACTTAGACATTTTAAGGGAAAATTACCTGATATCCATTCAGGTCAGTATAAAATTTGTTTTGACTGTTTATGCTAGAAGAAATTCTCATTGCAATCTCACGGTTATGTTCTTTTCAGATGTCCACGATATTGGACACTTCCACAGACTGTCTGTCTATTCGTAAATTTAAAAGAATATATATGTTAATAGAAATTGATTGCTCCACTTTTCTTATACTGTACAGAACTTCCAGAGTGACATACATTTTCCCGTTTTCTATTCCTATCTTCACCATTTTTCATGCTAACTGTGCCACCATTCACCTTTTTCTTTCTTTTCTTTCTTTCTTTTTTTTTTTACACTGTCAGACAGTAGAAAACATTTACTCCGGAGAACATGTAACTCAACAGAAGGATGAAGAGCTTGGGATGAGATAAACGCAGATGAAATATAACATGCAAATGATTCTCCAATGAGTTCTGGAGGGAAAAGAGAACTTTAAATGAGAAAAGGTTAGCCCCACTCCAGGCCAGGCCGCCTGTCACGTGTACGGCCATTCTCCAACAGAGCCATGTGAGCCTACTTCTTCACGGCTCGCCTTCCGTGCTGGAAATCTGAAGCAGTGAGATCTACACTCTGTTGGTTCGAGAGACAGTCTATTACTGCCCATGATCTATAATCTAGGAAAAGAGACACGAGATCCAATGAGATGCTTTATGGCTAAAATGGATATTATCATATTAGTATTTGTGGAGTATAATCTGGACAGCTCCCCAGAAGTTAAATCAATTTTTTTTTAAGATTTTATTTATTTATTTGACAGAGAGAGACAGCGAGAGAGGGAACACAAGCAGGGGGAGTGGGAGAGGGAGAAGCAGGCTTCCCGCCGAGCAGGGAGTCCGATGCGGGGCTCGATCCCAGGACCCTGGGATCATGACCTGAGCGGAAGGCAGCCGCTTAACCGACTGAGCCACCCAGGTGCCCCAAGTTAAATCAATTTTAATTGAGTTTGGTATCTCTTAAGACCCCTTGTTATGGAGTGATTCGTTTTGTCCTTTGCTATATAAAGCAGAGGACAGCTTGAAGAAGTCCCAGATGTCTCAAACATTTATTTTTTTGGATAAGCCTAAACTTTTCACTAATTTCTATCTGTCATGCCACCCTAACTATATCTTCTGGTCCTGAGTGAAGCCTTGGGTCTATTTCCGAGACGGGGAGGGGAGTTATGGAGAAATCCAACACTCCTAATACAGACTGAGTATGTAGAAGAGATACTGGATCTTCTACAAAAGAGCAATCAGGAAAGCAAGCAATCAAAAGAAGAAAGACTGGCCCTATCCTATTTCATACGGCAGAAGGTTTTTAAGGTTCTAAGAGCCCTGGACACGTACCTGCAGTTGTCAGTCGTTACCCACCAGGCCTCACACACACTCTGTCACAGCGTGCCGATCACCAGGACACTCTTTAGACAAAGAAGGCTATGTAAAGAGAAATGGGGAGTGGGAGAAGGGAGTAAGGAGGACTTTTTCTGGAAGCCAAGAAGAATCCCCAGGGCTTAGAGAAGATGAAAGCAAACAGTTAAAGGAAGGAAGTTTGAATCGGTGGGACTGGTGGAAAATAATGAAAATGCAGCTAGCTGAGGCACTATAGGTTTATGTGAGAAGTACACCGGAAATTGTAAGACATCAATAGTAATATGCTGACAATACTAAATGGGCAGAAGCCTCCATCAACAGATTTTTCAGAATTCTCACAGAAGTTCTTTTCTGGGAGATGTTACGCCTCCAACTCGACAACCTCAGTCAGAGATGACTTCAGTTTCTTACTATGTTCATAAAGCTGTGATGAGCAGTATGACCTCATGTGTGGGGGAAGAAGGTCCTTTTCTTTTCCCTCCCACGTTATGGCCAGTCTGAACCACTAACCAGTAAAATATACATATAACTTTCCTTCTGACAATTACCAGATAACTGACCCAAATAGCTTCACTACTACTGGGAAGTTAAAAGAAAACAAAAATCACATCCACTGATGCCAGAACAATGGTGTTTTCTTTGACTAGGAAATGTATTACTTTCGATGCAAACTTTCCTTTCAGTAGGTTTATGTCAACCCCAATATCTTTCAAAGCCAATGAAATGTATATGGAATTCTAACAGACAAGCTTCCACAAATGAACCAAAGATGCCAAAAAACAAAAAATACAGCATAGGGATGAAGTCCCCCATGAAGCATTCAGGCGAACACCTCATCTACTGGAGGCATTCGTGGCTGTTTGGCACCATGTCCGTTTTCTCCTCTCTAGACTGGATATTCTCCCAGGGGGTCAATAGAGTACATGAAATGAAATAAAGTCTTTACAAAGGAGAGTGTCATTAATTTCAAGTCACGTATCTCTGGAAAACATTTACAAAAAACATGCTTCAAGAAAAAATAAATAATTTCACATTACCTCTGGCAATAATAAATTATTTCTGTTGAGAAAATGATCTTTCTTGAGCTCAGTATTATGCTCAGATCCGGTTGTGGCAACAAATGCTTAAGTCTCCTTTAAAAGGAGCCTCGATGTCCATTCACAGTTCAGCAAGACATCTGTGCCAGGGCAGGCTTTTAAAGTAAGATCAAACCTAATACACTTATTATGAACAAACCAAATAAATCTTGTAATGGTAATCAAAGCAAGGAGGTATCCCTGAGTCATCAAAGGTAATTTATTACTTTTTAAAGAAGAATCTATGTGAGGGGGATAAAGGACTGCTACCTTTTCCTACTCTAGGTCAAGAATTCCCTAAAGTGTGCCATTCCCAAAGAAGCTCATGGGATTGAGGGGAGAACTCCCTGGGAAGCATGGGTATGAACCGATCGGTCTCAGTGACCTGCAGAATCTTTGCAGCAAAAGGTTCTTTTACCAAATTGGTTCCACCTGGGCATGGATGGCCAGGAATTTCTAAGCCCCTCTGGTTTTTCTTCAGTCCTGGGAAAGAAAACAGCTCCTACCTAACAAGCGTAGTCCAAAGAGTTATGTCATTGATAAAGACAGAGAATTAAGAACTCCCTTGCTGCTAACACCTCACCCTCTGTCCCCAGAAAGAGAGAAAGGAGATTATTTATCTTTATTAACAGAGGCAATGCAAGGTAAAAACAGAGCAAGTCCACAGGTGGAAAGCCATCATAGAGAAGCGGAAAGAGTCTTGCAGAACTCTGAAGTTTTGTTTTTTTTTTTTTTTTTCTCCTCCCTGGAGCCTGTTAGCTCCTTACAGATTGTCTTACACACCATCTCTGCATTCCAGTTTTTAACAATAATTTGGGGATGTAGTAGGTGCTGAATCACCATTAAAGAGAATGAGTTAAGATGTGAGAGGCTGTCCTTCATGATGCAGATGTCAGCTGACATGGGAGGAAGGCAAACTAGGCCATGGACAGAGTTTAAATAGAAAGAAGGGAATAAGTACTTAGATTTTGAGCAAACACATGCATGTTAGAATGTAAGCTCCTCAAGCACTGGGACCATGTCTTATTTATCTTTATGCTCCCAGCACATAATAGGCAGATAGTGTTTGCTGAGTAATGGGCAGCAGCTACATGGAAGAATCAGCCAACAATTACTGAGTCCTCGCTATGTACCATATGCCCCGCCATATGCTTTACATACAGTAACTCATTCAATCCTGACCCTAAGCCTAGGAGAACATACCTTGCCCCAGATCACAAGGCTGACAGAACCAGCACTAAGCCTCTTGGCCATCATGTCTCACTGGCAAATTGACCACTAGAGAATGTTAAAGTTACTTTGGGACCATGGATTGGAGAAGCTTTGCAGTGACTCTAAGTAGAAAGGAGACCTCCAGGTTATTTTTTAAGAAAGAGAGAGGGTACTGATCTGGGATGATATGCTGCAAGTGCTACCTAAAGGAGACAAATACATTATCAGTAAAATAAAATAAAAATAATAAAAAATAATTATGGGACAGGCTTGCCAGAATACAAAACTTCTTCAAAACAATCCAAAATCTTTTCTTTAAAAATGTCACGGTCACTTTAGAAGCCAATAAAGTAATATATACTAATTAAAGACACTGTGATCTCACGTATTTACCTAAGATGAACACTAATCACAAGCACAAGCATGTTCACTGTGCACTGGTGCCAAGGGTAGAAACATGGGGAAACAGGCTAGATGCCCACCAACAGAAAAATGAATAATAAAACCAGCACATCCACGTTTTGGACTGCTCTGTAGCAAATGAATGAGGTAGCTCTCTGCCCCGGCAAAGGAAGATATCTGATGCAAGAGGTGAATGGAGCATTTGTACAGTGTGATGAACTTTTTGCTAAAACCAAACACAATACTATACCTTTCTGCAGATATGCACGCAAGAGAGGTGTGTGTGAGAGAGAGAGAGGAGATAGAGAGAGAGAATGCAAGTGATCCGAGGGTGCACACAGGTATCTGATTACCTCTCTTGAGTAGTGGATAGGGACCACGCACAGATTCTAGAGGGATTTTACATTACATACATATACTATAATGTGTGACACTTTTGTCAAAAGAGTATACATATATATTATTTGTATACATAAAAATTATTATCTTTTTTATTCTATTTTTTTTAGATTTTATTTATTTGACAGAGAAAGACACAGCAAGGGAAGGAACGCAAGCAGGCAGAGTGGGAGAGGGAGAAGCAGGCTTCCCGCTGAGCAGGGAGCACGATACGGGGCTCGATCCCAGGACCCCGGGACCATGACCTGAGCCGAAGGCAGACGCTTAACAACTGAGCCACCCAGGTGCCCCCGAACTTACCCAACTTAACCAGGAGTTGACGCTTAGGGTTATTAACTAATACACACTGCTTCACTCAACACATAAATGACAATTCTCGCAACAATGATAAATTTAGTAGGACAATATGGAGATGATGTTTCTAAAAAAGCAAATATTATCATTTTTAAAAACTGTACTCATATCTGAAAGTACCAAGAATAAAAATGGTAATAACTCCCATAACTAGATGACCTTTTTGTCCATGTTGACTTATTCAACTTGCCTATCCATTGTAAGATCTAATTTATCCTCTGAGGTACTTGCTGATTTCCAGGTCTGTAAATGTTCATATTGACTATTTCTCCACAAGTGAAAATTTTAACATCTGCTTTCATGAATATAAATTTGA